AAAGACAATCTCAATCAATTTTGCTTTTTAACTTTGTAAGAAGTAAGTATGCTCCGAAGAGATGTCATTATTTGGTTGCATTCCATTTTGGGAGAGTAGCATTGAGGTCCAGAATTTAAAGGCATTTGTGGGTTTTCTAGGCACAAAAGCTTTGCATATTAGCTTCAAACACTCTCCTACGAAGGTATTAAATGTTATGGTCTAAAATACACCAGCAGAGTGTGGTGTATTTAAGTGAAGTGTCTTTTAAGTGAAAGTCTTATGTGGGAAAGAAATGCGATATAATTAACTACTCAAGCTTTCCCAAAGAGATCCAAGCTACAGCCATTTTTGAAAAAGAAAAGCCACGTTTCAGAGTCTCCAGCAATGAGGAGAATCGTGTCCTGGGGCTCTGGTTTGGATAGTAAGTCCTCCTCTCATCAGCCAGGTAATGTTGAGCAAGATGTGTCCTCCTCTCCCCACACTGACTTTCTTCTGTGTAGAAATGGGAATGAAACACACTTTGCACCATGATTGTCAGGATTAAGTTACTTCTGTGATAGTGCCAAGCCCCCTGCCTGGTACATACATAGATCAGAAATGTTATGTTTTCTTTCTATTGCCTGTCAGACAGGATTGAAAATTATGTGAACTCCAATTACCCTAAATATCTAAATACCAGAGAAACAAAAAGATGAATTAACAACCCACATGACCAACTGAAGCACTGCTGGGCAGAATGAATAAAATAACCAACTGAGACAATTAACGCACTCTCTAACACTCTGAGAACTCAAATAATGGAATTTGCATTTTTTTGTAAGGCTAAAAATATAGTCATTATAGATCACAAATGCCTACAATGTTAATTAAGCAGTAACTATGTGACGGGTTCTGAACTAAGTACTTTAGAAGAATTATATTATTTAATCCTCACTACCAAGTGACAGAGCCAGGATTTGAACTCAGTAATCTGATGCCAAAGCTCTTAATAATCGTGTTATCTGTCTACGTAGTAATGAAACGTGGCAGATTTCCTCTGCTGAGAATAACCAACATTTACTTAACCTCCCATGAAATTTTTTTTGTAACATGAAATGCCCATTTTTGATAAAGGAAAGAATTAAGACATTTTCCAGATGAAAAGCTCATAACTATCTATTCTACAAAATATTAGAGCATATTAAATCTGAATCTGAATCTAAATCACAATCTGAATCTAAATTAATGTTACCAAATCATTAAATTCCAGTCCTGTGTAATATTTAATTATCTGTTACACTTACGTAGACTATATGCTTTGTACACAGTAAGAATTCAACAAATACTTACTGACTAGCTATTTAGTTACAGCAGATAAAGGATCAAATAATAATGTACAAAGTTTTTCCCCAAAGTCTTTATTTTGTCAGTGACTGTAGGCTTTCTCTGGGAGTGAAGAAAGCTGTCTGGGTTATGGGCAATTCAAGTATTTATTTTCTTGCTGATATTTAAAGGCAAATAATTAGGCAGGGAAGAGAAGTAAGATGACTTTCAAATCATTTCTTAAACAACAGCAAAGATGACCAGCAATGTAGTAGGTGGCCACCCTGCCAAATCCTCTTGCTGCTCCTACAGTGGGAAGGCTTCCTCCAACTGTAAAGATGCCCCGGCACACCTTTCAGCACTTGTCACTACTTAAAATTATTTAAAATTCATATTAGTACGTGAAAAACTCTTCTGTTGAGATTACATATTTTCAATGGGCCTTTCCAGTCATTTAGTGATGAAACAATTAAAAAAATATAAATATGTTTGAAATTGCTCAATACAGAACTTACATCATTATAATCTTATGTTTGGCCTCTGGAACTTTATACAAAGTCAGATTTGAGTTCAAAGTAGAGAAAATTGAACTAAAACACGTAAAAGTTTTTGAGGGGTTGTTTGTGTGTGTGCATTTTTAACGAAGGTATAATTGCTTAGCCAGATACTCTTGTTTCTCTGACTAGAATATAAATAAAACCAGATCATGATCCAGAAAAACTTGTTTTACCACAAACCTATCAAATCTGTATCGGGCTACAAGGAACAAAGAACTAAAATCTCTTCTTACTACATGTTATATTTTAGATAATAAAGTGTATACAGTAGTATCTTCTCATGAAATTTTGCTCTAGAAAAATCTCCATATTCCTTTATTTGATTTATTGTTTTTCTGGCAGATTCTGTCAGCATCATGAGCCACACTGAGTACTTATTCTGTGTAGACTTATAAAAAAAAAAACAGAACAAAACGAAAAACCTTGTTTGCTGAAAATAAAAAGTGAAATAAAAAATGAAACCTCATCATTTCTCTAGTTTATCAGTAAATAACTGCTAAAAGCTGGGGGCCGGCCTGGTGGTGCAGTGTTTAAGTTTGCACGTTTCGCTTCTCGGTGGCCCGGGGTTCGCCAGTTTGGGTCCCGGGTGCGGACGTGGCACCGCTTGGCAAAAGCCATGCTGTGGTAGGTGTCCCACATATAAAGTAGAGGAAGATGGGCATGGATGTTAGCTCAGGGCTAGTCTTCCTCAGCAAAAAGAGGAGGATTGGCAGTAGTTAGCTCACGGCTAATCTTCCTCAAAATAAAAAAATAAATAAATAAAAACCTGCATTTAAAAAAAACTGCTAAAAGGGAGAGAGGCAGGTTATTATTATGTGAATAAAAGATGATTAACTATACATCATTCTATCATGCCACCAACAGTATATATCATAATTTTAAAAGATTATAGTGAAGAAGTGGGTCATTACCTTGGGACAGTATAAAAACAACACAAGAGTAAAGATAATTAAACAACCAGTAATATTCCAATCAAATGAAACACTCTTAATGAAGACCGACACTTGTTATATATTTAAATTAGCCAGCTAGAAAATATTTTTTAAAAGTCAGTAATTCAAATGGAAACTTTATGTTGATTTTAAAAGTCTGATACCATCAATTTAGATCCAGCTCACCTCTTACTGTAAACAAGAGGTAGAAAAGAACAATCCAAAATGGATAACTGGATTGTAAGTAATTAACATACACACCTTCTATGAAAGACTAATCCCAGATTTTACAAAGGCACATCTACGCCCCATGATTCAGTTTCTACTTCCACATGGTCTTGTAAACAGACGATTTTAACAAGATATCAAATTCCATCTATATGCAAACTGACATGTTAATTACATATTACCTTACCAACTCATTAAAGCTGATGGCTCATGGTGCTTTTACATATCAATACTTTGTATTTAGATTTAATTGCATACATCTGAAAGTAATCCACTACAGAGGAAAACACAATTTTCTATGTATATGTTTCAATGATTTTGGTTGTGCTCCAATTTAGATATCACTGACACCACTGCATGAAATTCAGTTCCATAAGATGGTAACTTGAGTACAAATGAATCCCCACCTCCCAATGATCACTGAGATGGCCAAGGAAATAGAAAGAAAACCTTTATTAGCACTAAAACCTCGGGAAGGGTATCAGTGACACCACACATCCCAGGCCCAGGGATATCTATAACATACAGTAGATGAAGAACCAATAGGAAAAGGCAAACCCACCATCCTTAGTGAAAGTAAACGAGCAACTCGTCTGTTTGGGAGACACAACATCTAACAGAAAGCACAAAGAACAGACTTAAAAGTAGGCAGTTAAGTGCAAGACATACAATCTGGATCCCTCAAGGGCCTTTGGAAAGTGAGATATGTATCAAAGATTTAACCCAGTCATTCATTACCTAGGAATTTACACTAAAGAGCAAACTGGACAAATATGCAAAGATGTATGTTTAAGTATGATAATCACTATAATTGATAACAATAATAAATTAATATTAGTTAAAAGTGTAAACAATTTAAATGTTCATTAATAAGAAATTGGCATATGATTTACCCAAATAATGGAATATACATATAAGTAAATTCTCACTGACATGGAATGAGCTCCATAATATGCTGTTGAAGGGGAAAAAAGATTAAAAATAACATCTATTATGAATAGTTACACACATGGAGCGAGAACTGCAAAAATTATCATCAAAATGCAAATGGAGGTTGCCTCTGGGTAGTTGGATATTTGATAATTTTTCCTTCTTTATAATTATTAATGTAGCTTAAATTTTCTAAATAAATGTATACTGTCTTTGTAATCAGAAAAAAATTCTCTTCATGTTGGAAAAAGAAAAGTATATTTATTTTTAATACCACAATTCCATTTGGGAGAAATGACCTCAAGAAAATAATTGGGAAAATCCAGAAAGATATAGATTCTAAGATGTTTATCACAGCACTGTTTTTAACAGTAAAATATTGGCAATAACCTAAATATCAATAGTGAATTTGTTAAATAAACTTTGGAATAGCTATAGAGTGGCATACTATGAAGCCATTAAAAATTAAGACAAAGATATATCCATTACTAGCTCAGTTACTTTGGAAATATTACATACCCTCTAGGTATCAGTTTTCTTACCTGTAAAATGGTGATAAAAAGAACACTTATCTCATAGTGCTTTACCTAACTTCTTAGCTATGCCCTATTGTGATAGGAAATGAAAAACCTGAGTTTATGAGCTTCCTTCAATATCACATACCCCATTTCAAAACCTACTTTGCTATATGCTTTTAAAAAATATTGCAAGATCAACATTCAATTTGGCTGTCAATCAAGTTAAGAAAACATGAATCTAAGACCACAAAGGCAATGAATACCAAAATGGAAAACAGGAAATTCCTGCAACTTCTAGCCTATTTTTAAAAAACCCCTATACATATTCGCAAACTAAGCTTATATAAGTAGAAAAAGTAGTGATGGAAGATAGAACCAGACTGATCTGGATGCCTGTGGCACTGAGACAGGTCCCAAGAAGAAGTGGCCTAGATAACTTCCCTAGTTAACTGAACAACAAAACAATTTACATATACATACTAGTTAACTTCACCAGTTTTACTCTCATTGTACAAACATTTATTTTGTTGCTTTAAATAGCTGAAACCAACCTGCCACGGTCTTTCCCAATCGAGTGGAATAGGAAAGGCTCCAAGCCATGCTCCTACGAAACTAGAAATTGTAGTGATCTGGAGGCTGTTCTCCCAAACAGACGTAACTCTGTAAAACACAAATACGTAAATCACTGTTGGTATCTATCTTAGCTGCTGGAGAATCAAACAAAACAGTAGCACAAATTAACACTATATATCTATGTTCTGTTCATTTAAATTTAGCATCTCAAATTGACATATAAAAATTTATCATGAACTATTAACAATTAATTCCAATTTTCAGTTGGAAAGGTAACATATACACATGGTGAAAGTCAAACAATACAAAAGAGCATATGCAATGAAAGTTAAGTCTTCCTCTCACCCTTTCCCCAGAAGCAAGTGCTACTACCAATTTAATACATACCCTTGCAGAAATATTTTATGCATGCACAAATACACATACAATTTTGTTTAGAATAATATAAGCATATTTGCATATATGCACACATATATTTATATATCCTTCAAAACAAAACTCTAATGCATCATGTTATAAGCCCAGTTTTGCTGCTGTGTTTTCCTTTAACGGTTATACTAGATTCCATCGTACGGAGGGAGCATCATTTACTCCACTAGTCCTTTGTATGGCACATTTCACTAAAACAAATCAACTCTATTTGGTGGGGAAGGAGTAGAGACTGAAAACAAAGTATTTCAAAAGATCCAGTGATTTTGCCCACCATTCTTATTTAAGTGCACATCTTACAGTGTAAAGACCTAATTCTGCCATTCTTTCAGTAAATCTTGGTTTCAGGCCGCCCCTCATAGTGTGACCACTTAGCCGTGTAGAACGTGAGTTTGGTTACAGTAGAGCAAAATCCCACCACAACACAGTAAGGGGAGGCTCCAAATATTCAATTGTTTAAAATACAAGGTTGAGTTATTATGAAGTTTTATGAAAAGCAGTTCCTTCCAGCTGGTGTGGAAAAAGGGGAAAACATCTGCTTTGTTAGAAGATTTCTTTCATTAGAAGTAGGCCAATTATTACACACAAAATGTACACTGAATTAAAGAAGTCCCAGATGACCAGTCAGTCATAAATCAACCCCTCTATCACCTTCTCATTATTCCCCCTCCACCACCCACACAAGGTAAGAGCTTTGACTTGTTTCTACTGAAAATGGAGGCTGGAAGAAGGTTGGAGCCAATCACCATATATCCAAATTTCTGTTATTTGCTGGGTTTTATCTTTTTTTATTTTACATAACACCTATAAATGCAAGTCAATGTCTTCAACCAGCATTTAACAGAAGAGTGTTCCGTTCCAACCTTAGGAAAAAACTGGCAAGTTGAATGCAAAGAGAGAACTGTGCCGTTGGGCAATTTAAAGGATTTTCCAGGGTAATTTTTGACTATATGTGACTGACAAATGTTGACTAGCTTTCACTCAACACGCAACTCCTCTATGTTGCAATACGGAAAGTGATGTGCCCGGAGACACCAAGTCTGGTAGAGGCCGAGAGCAGAGTTTACTTTCTGCTGGAAAGAGTTTACTTTTTCCATTTTATGGATGAGCAGGAAGTTCAGCTGGATTTGGAAGAATGGGTAGCATTTGGTCGTGAAGAACTGGAAAAAGAGCTGGAATGCAGGTAAAAGGGACATCAGTAAAACTGGTTGAGGCCAAGTGGACAACTAGAAAAGTAGGTCAGAGTTAGGATTTCTAAAAATTACTTTATTGAGTATAGTAAAAACTTGCCCCAGAAAATCTTTTTCGAGCCATACAATTCACTCATTTAAAGTGCACAGTTCAATGTTTCTTAGTATATTTACAAAGTTGTGCAACCATCACCCCAAAATGAAACCCTTTACGCATTAGCAGTCACTCCCCATTTCCCCTCCCCGCCCAGCCCTAGGCAACCACTAATCTGCTTTTTGTTTCTATGGATTTACCTATTCTGAACATTTCATATAAATGGAATCATATATTGTGTGGTCTTTTGTGACTGGCTTCTTTCACTTAGCATAATGTCTCAAGATTCATCCATTTTGTACCATGTAAAAATTCTTTTTTATTGCCAAATAATATTTTGTTGTATGGGTATACCACATTTTATTTTTTCCACGCATGAGTTGATGGACATTTGAGTTGTCTGGACTTTCTGGCAATTGTGCATAATGCTACTATAAACATTAATGAACAAGTTTTGTGTGGATATGTTTCCATTTTTCTTGGGGGTATACTAAGGAATAGAATTGCTGGGTCATATGGCAACTCTATGTTTAACCTTTTGAGGAATTGCAAGACAGTTTGTCAAAGAGCTAAGCCATTTTATATTCCCCCAGCAGTGTTTGGTGGTTTCCATTTTTCCACATCCTTGCTAACACTTGTTATTATTGATTATAGCCACTGTAGTGGGTACCAAGTGTTATCTCATCGTGGTAGATTTAGGGTTAGGATTTTAGAACAGCCTTAAAAGTCAGACTAAAGGAGCCACTGAAGGTTTTAAATCAAGGCAGCTATGATCAGAGCTATGTTTCAGTGAGATTCATGTACATGTCTTATCTAACTTCTAAGCTCCAAGTTCCTCAGGCTAAGGGGCAAGATCCATGTCTTCATATTTTCTATCATTACAGCACACTTGTGGCCATCTCATATTTGTTGTAATAAAAAGTGCTAACATCCAAGAGGAGGTCCTCTATTTGTATCCTCTGATGTATCCAAGAGTGTTTAGATCTTACATATAATAAATGTAGAGAAAATGGAACCAAGACCTAATTTAAAAAATAGAAAAACTCTCTAGCCCCTTTAAAATTAAAATTTGATCAAAATAATACATATAAGTATCTTTAAACTCAAAGATCACAACAATAATAATTCCTCCCTGCAGTCCTCCCCATTCCTGACTTCTGCTCCTGAGGCAGACACTTTCAAATCTTCACTGTTTCTTCTATATACCGCTAATTTAAAAGAGCATACATTATGTACAGAATTTTCAAGATTTAGTTACTTTCTGCTTTCTACAATGGAGGAGGATTTGGTGCTCTAGCCACAAGGCTCCCATCTCCATACACATTTCTGACTCATCATCCTCTTTCACAGTGACATGTCCTCTCAGCTGAATCAATAGCAGTGTCTACATTATGATTATGAAAATATTCATCCCAGCTGAACCACACAGTAAACCACAATTACCTTTCCCTTCTTCGAGTAAATTTTTAATTTTCTTTGGATGTTAAGAACTTCCTCTTTTTTTACCCCCCATTTGCGAACCTACCTGTCACTAAATCATCCTCAAGTATTCCAAAGAAACTAAACATCAGCTCTTGTCTGCGCTCTCTCTCTTCTTGGAGACACCTCACCTGCTCCAGGCTGGGCTGGGCGCTCGCTAAGCCTACGGCACAGCTGTACCGAGTTCCCTACACCATCGCCTCGGGAACTCCCTCTGCCTCTCTCGTTGCTTTGGGGTCTCATTTCCTACATTCCGAGACTTCCTCCTTCTATTTTCTTTTCTTTTTTTTTAAAGCACCTCCTGCAACAGAATCCTGAAAAGGGTACATGGAAAACAGATTTCAGCGATGTTTAAAGTCCGAAAATGACTTTACTATAATTGTTGGACATCATTTTGCCTCTGAATTTTGAAGGCACTGCTCCTTTGTTCTGTGACTCCCAGCTGAGAAGTTTAGAGCCATTCTGGCCCCCAGTGCTCTGTAGGCAGCACATCCCTACCCCCACCCCACCCCCGCCCTCTCTGGGAGCCTTTAGAATCACCTCTTTATTCCTGGCTCTCTAAAATGTCACAATAACGCACCCTGGAGTGGACGACTTTTCATGCATCATGCTGGAGATACACGGGCCTCTTAATCTAGAATCTCAAGTCTTTGGTTCTTGAAATTTTCTTTTATTTAAAGACTTTCTCTGTCCAGATCCCTTAAGAATTTTCCACTTTTCTTACTCTTTGGCTTGGAATACTATCATTATGAATTAGTCTCTGATTTTCTTACCTTTTAACTCATTTTCCATATCTTAGTCTTTTTTTTTTCTTTTTTTTTTTAAAGATTTTATTTTTTCCTTTTTCTCCCCAAAGCCCCCGGTACATAGTTGTGTATTCTTCGTTGTGGGTTCTTCTAGTTGTGGCATGTGGGACGCTGCCTCAGCGTGGTCTGATGAGCAGTGCCATGTCCGCGCCCAGGATTCAAACTAACGAAACACTGGGCTGCCTGCAGCAGAGCACGCAAACTTAACCACTCGGCCACGGGGCCAGCCCCCATATCTTTGCCTTTTTGACTAAGGGATCTTTTCAACTTTGTCTCTACTTCTGTTGAATTTTTTTTTCATCATATTTTTAATTCCCAAGAGCTTTTTTGTTCTGTGAATATTCTTTTTGATAGCTTCCTGTTCATGTTTTATGGATGTAAAAAGTAGACATTTTTTAAAGTTATCTTCTGGTTTTTATATTGCTTTTGTTTCCACTGAGTTTTTTTGTTGTTTTCATTTTGGAGATGTTTCTCAACTGTCTAAGTGTTTATTTCTCATTCTACTTAAAACACTATATATGAAATATCCAGAACAGTCAAATCTAGAGAGACAGAAAGTATTTTAGTAGTTGCCTGGGATGGGAGGATGGGGGCAGGAGAGAAGGGTGGGAATGGAGGATGATGCCAATAGGCATAGTTTCTTTTGGGGGTGAGGAAATGTTCTAAAACTAGATTGTGGAGATGGTTACAAAACTGTGTCCCTACTAAAAACCATTAAATTGTACACTTTAAATGGGTGAGTTTTATGATATGAAGTTTATCTCAATAAAGGTATTTTTTAAAAAACTGAAACACTAAACAGCTGACTGGATGTTCACTGTGCAGAAGCACAATTCAACTGGTGGGCTTCACGGTACCAGGGATTGGGTAGGAACCCTGCCTTTTGGAGAACCCCCAAATGTCTGTATCTGTAGGTTTTTCTTTTGTATCATTTTCCCTAGGTTTCAATATTCTGCCTAAATGGTATAAGCCTAGCTGTCAGTATTCTGGGCCGGCGGGTGAAAAGGACTAGGCGTACTCACTGTTCAGCACACAGACCTCCATTAATCCCTGTTCCCCGAAGAGGCTGTACCAATTAGGCTCAGGACC